ATTATTTTGTAAGAAAAACTAACAACATCGTATGCATTCATCCATCTTTACAGAATAAACATTGGAAATTAATGATATCATTACCGATAGATTAATCCCAAATAGAAATCAACATTTGGATAGAGGTTCCTCTTAATAAAGTACTCAACAGTGCTTCTTTTTGTCCAGATATGTTTATGGGAGGACATATCTTTCTTGACACGTAGACTTTGCAACCTTGGATATAATTGAGATAGCCTTAACATGGAGGCATGTCAGGTGGTGGTGGTAACATTTTGGTCTCCGGAGATTCGCCATCTTTAACTATGAACGCCGTACCCATGCCCCATACCATGTGTCGATCAATATGGCAATGCATGTGCCATACTCCTATTCAAGAAGAAAAAAGAAATAGAAAAACAGAAAAAGAAGTCAATGATGATAATAACCATAACAATTTTGAAAATGTCGGTCCAAAATGCTTTAATTCTTGATTTTAGAAGGTAACAGCACCAATTAAAGTTCGAACATTTACATTAATTGTAAGTGTGTAATGAGTTGGAGAACCCCTTGAACAAGCGATAAAACTAATTTGCTGTTTAGCTGTTTTATTTTTTTTTTTCTTCTCGCTTGAAACAAATGGAAGAAATTAAACAATCATAAAATGCAGGAACTACATATCCAAAGAAATCTATGGATTAACAGTTTGTATTACATGTTTCAATAAACTTTATTTTGAAGATAAAACTTATACGTACCAGGATTGTTAGTCCTGAATCTTATGGCCATCCATCCATCTCTTGGAACATGAATGGTGTTTTGAAGAGGAGGGTCCACCAGATTGTACGTTAAGGGATCCTTGTCCTTATTGAAATTCCCTAAACCCAATCCCACAACATAAAAACTATGTCCATGAAGATGCATTGCATGGTCACTACCTCCTATCAAGTTTGTCGCCTGGAAAACAAGCTCCACGGTGGAATTGTAATCTAGTACTCTCACTTCCGTTCCCAGTTGTGGAATCTCCCACTCCGTCGGTAAATAATCGGCAGTGAAGTCAAAAAATAATTGAGGAAAATCAGGAAGATTGGTCCCATACACCCCTTGAATGCAGCAATAGTAAGCTTGTAATATATCAATGCTGGGATTGAGGAAGCTTACGTTGTTCACACTGGCTATGAATCTCAGCTGCTCACCAGCTGCACATAAGAATTTTTTATAGAAGCTAAACAAAATAATTTTTTTTGTTTGATTTTGAATTATTTAATAAGAAATAACTCTCTTTCATTCTTTAACTCACCTCACCCATATATTGTATGACTTAAATTCAAAATTTTTAGCTCTACTTGGAGAAGAAATTACCACTAAGCAACTAAATAATTGTTAGTATAACTAAATATATTCTTTTAGGCCTAAATTTTGAGGGCTCACACTTTCATCCTTAATCTTTTTTTTTTTTGATAAGTTCATCCTTAATCTTTAAAATTAAGTAATTGGCTCCTTAACCTTTTAATAATTACCCCTTATTTGGTTTGAGGAAAATTGGGAGAGAGGAGTGACGAGAAATGGAAGGGTATCATTTTCCTTCCATATTCCTCCCCTCCCTTCCCCTTCTCTTGGTTAGACTAAATTACAAAAAGAATTAGAGCAAAATATAGGAAAATCGCTCTCTTGCTCTCCAATTTTTTGTGAATCAATTAATAGAGAAATTTCTTTCCCTCCATAACTTTTTTCCTCTCAAACCAAATAAGTTTGTAGGTGTATATGTGTGTCTATAT